TCTCTCTCTCTCTACTCGCTCATGGAGTCTTTCTCCATTTGCCTCTCAGCTTCTCAGTCTCTCCTAAACCATCGCAAAACCCTAAAATTCACGTCTAAATCCAATATTGGCCCCTCAAATTCACTTCCCACTTGCAATTCCACTTCCAATTTTACTTCCTTGACCAATTCTTTGCAAATTCGTTCCTCTAATCACCAACTAAAGAGTACTTCAAGAACCAAATTCTTCAATCTTCTGTTCAAAAATCTTTCTTTTCTCAATACCCAGCAATTTTTTCTTAAACCCGACATGGGTGTTCTTTTTCTTGGACTCTCTTTTCCACTTTCTTGTTTTGCCTCAGAAACTATTGCTCCCCCTGAAGAGGTGTCTAGCAAAATTAACTTAGAATCAATTTTGGTTTCTATAGACAATTTTTTCAACAGGTACCCCTTTTTTGTTGCCACTGTCACATTCATTTGGCTCGTTGTCATTCCCCTAACAGAGGAGTATTTACAAAAATACAAGTTTATTTCAGCCATTAATGCATTTAAAAAGCTCCAGTATGACCCCAATTCTCAGCTTTTAGATATCAGGGACAGCAGGAGTCTGGCCTATTTGGAATCACCCAATTTGAAAATCTTGAATAAGAGTGCACTACAGGTTGAGTTTCGTGAAGGAGATGAAGAGGGCTTTGTGAAGAAGGTTTTGAAGAACTTTGGGGAGCCAGGAAATACAACTATTTTTATCATTGACAAGTAAGTTTTGGAGATATGTTAGTTGCAATTGCAATGTACTGCAATCTGTTGGATGATTTTTGTGAATAGTGACGTCGAAATAAGTATAATAATGGTGACAAAGTCGAGGCAAGAGTTGAACTCTTTGTCCTTAAGTCGAATTTGCCCCACAACGGTGCCTACGGATTTCGGCAATCGACTCTCAAGATACAACGGCTACACTTGTGTTTGTAGCACTCCAAAACACAAGTACAACAAATCAAATTTAGGTTTATGTACTCCAAGGATGAAATGAAAGAAAATCAAAATAAATGAAATGATTTTGATTTTGGATAGAAGAGAGGATGAGAGGCGTTTTGCATATCAAACTGTGAGGAATAGGACATCCAAAGGGTCCTATTATAGACCATGAAAGGGTGTGGACGAAATGGTTGAGGTCAAACCATGCACCCTTTCCAAACAATGCACCTTTATGAAAAGGTGTCTATTCACTGATTTTCGTCCTTTTTTGTAATTTCTCATTCATCCGATATTGATTTTCGAAATGCCAAATATACCCTTCAATACATGCAGAGAAATCAAAATTCTCTTTCGGGGGCGTTGCCCCCGACTCCCGCGACCTAACTGGGTAGGTCGATCCCCGTTTGTGCGCCCCGAAGCGGCGAAGTGGCAAACAATTTTACTTAAACGGATTGAGTCGAGCTTTTGAGTATTTGGCCGAAGTCGATACGAATTTTAATCGATTTTCAATTCTCGATTTATTTAACCAATATCCAACACAATCACATCCGTAATTGCATTTGGTTGAATGGAGATATGGAAGATTACTTAATAATAGTTTGTTTAAGTTGTTGTGATTGTGCACCACAACATAGTAGTTAACTTATTATTTCAATTGAAAGAACAGTGTCTGAATGAAAAAGAGTGATCATTTAACTGGACTTGTAATTAATTGACCACTTGTTCTATGAATAATGTTCCGGTGAAATGACCTGTTAATTTGTTTGAATGGTTCTCGTACTAATGTCGATATTATTGCTTTCTTTCTTGCCATATGAATAGAGATGGAAATTTGGCTCGTCGGCTTGGGTTGCATGTGGCCCAGCCCGTAAAAGGCCTAGAACCAAGCCGAGGCTTAGGCTGAGCCCAATTTTGTTGCATTTTAAAGGCAGCAGTGCACTGCCAGCTGCCTTTTTTGTGTAGCGGCCTTTTAAAAAATAAAAATAAAAATAAAACCTAGCTGGCTCGCCAAGCCGAAAGCTCGGGTCGAGTCTCAATTTTTTGGCCGAGCTATTGGTCTGCTCAGCTCGGGCCAAAAAAAGCTCGACTTAATTTTACTCAAACCCCGAGCCTTAAGTTTCGGCTTGTGAGCCGGCTCGA